TTCTTTTTTTTTTTTTACGTATTTGGACAACTAATAATTGTAACTTGTAAACATTAATGTGAAATTATTATAGGGCAAAAATACAGCACATTGCAAAATATAAAGGCAATCGATTTAAAAAAAAGATTTAATTTTTTTGTGTAAAATTTTGAATTCCAAGAATGTTTTAAATATTTAATTTTAAAGTGGCGGATTGTGTGTGATGCCCTGCTAAGCCGGGCCTGTTGGTTCTGCTGGGCACCACATGTGCACCATGGCAATGCTTGTTGTGGGGTTTTGAATTGGACATGGACCACCAATGTTGTGGATAAAGTATGGTTGAGTTTTCGACCGAACTGGCTTTTGTGATTCTTTTGAATGAAATAAATACACTTTAAAGCTCTTTCGATTTTCACAGCATCTCTACGTCTTATGTGCAATAAGAGTCATATAAACATATGGCATTTATAAGTTTTCAGTTTAAAAAAAATGACTGACTATAATAATGTATAATAAGAATAATCACTGGCGTTTTAGAATAAATACTCGTTTCCAAATGTCTTACACATGCTGTCACAGAAATATAGTAACAAAAATCCTATCGAAAATATACTAACTTTTAACCGCCAGTACATACAAATATAACTTTAAATAGGAAAATGTTAACTTCTTTCATCAAACAAAAATATTAACTGAGGCTCATAAAATTGTACACAGCCAAGGGCTTCGTGTCTGAGCTCACCTCATTACTGCAGGAAAAAACGTTACACTCGCAGCTCCTATGACAACTTAAAATACAAGACATGACGAAGTAAAACAATATCACGTGATCTGATCGGGACAATCAATAGATTTACATTTTGATTATTAAACAGAAAATTATGAAATCTGAACACAAAGAACAAATTGGATGCTTTTTAATTTAAACAAATTAAATAGACATAAAATAATGAAACCACAAGTAATTTCATTGCAAAAAAATATACTTGAAACTATTTCATGTTTATATTTACCTACAAAAAGTGACATAATGCATCGATGTTTAAAAAAAAAAATGTCACCCATAGTTGATGTCATAAATGTAAATTAGACAAATGAAAAAAACCCTCGATGTTAAATAAGATTAGAATCCCTGCCTTTCATTGCTCTCCCTGTATAGAGCTGCGGTATTGATTATTTTTGGGTAACATGAATAGCTTTACAACGGGTTTGCAGACCCCCACATTAAGTTGATAGGTTTACGAAATCGTGTGGAGTTCACTGCATATTATCAAACATTTATTTTACAACACAACATGTGAGGTTAGGCTTAGATGTTTTGGATAATAATATTATGAAATGCTCTTCACTGGATGCTTTTTATTGGAATTTCTACCAATTTGGAACATCTTTATTATTATTATTACTAATCATGTCTTTTGTAATGTTATCTATTTTAAAACTATTGTACGAATAATATTTTTGAATAGATTCCTTATGCATTGTAAGTTATATATATATATCACTTACTAGTATTAATGAACATTTCTTAAACATTACAACATTTAGCTTTAAACAATGCCTCTAAAATGTTCATTTCATTATTTCAGTTCACAAGTGCCCAATCAATTATGAAGTGTAGGAATATGAGAGAACTCGCGGTTTCTTTTGTTGTCCTTTGTATGGTGCATTTCAATGGTATGATTCAGGGACTGAATTTACATTTTTTAAAATATGTTCAGATTGTGTAATACGTTATGGTGAATGCACAGAAATTACCAATATATTACCATATTAGTAGAATATGTACAATTAGTAGAGAGTTTTATTTATTTTTTAGTAGCATAATATTTTTGTGTTCAGGATACAAATAGTAGAAAAAAAAGTCGCTGTAAAACGTAAGATCCTTTAATGAAAGGATTAAATTCTTCATTATGGTGGAGCATGATTTCTTACGAATGTACTATATTTTAACCAAATAAATATAATTTTAACTTTGAGCAGCTGTTGGCTAAATGATCTAAAAATTGAGAGTCTAATTGATTAGTGTATTTTATTGATGAGAACTATCATGTTAACATTGTGAAATTAAAATATATTTTTTTTTAACTTCTCAAGTTTCCAAAGGTAAAAGTGTAGAACTGGAGTATCTGTCAGAAATGTGCTACATACCAGAGACAATGATCTTCAAAGCTACTTTAAACACAACTGGGGCTAACGATTATTCGGCGCCATACTACTTAATCTTGTATTCAGTAAGTTTTAGTGTCATTGTCTTTTGAAAACCTATGAATTAAAAACAGTTTAAAATAATTAATTTAGAATATCTGAATGTTTAATATATGAGCAGAATAATATTCACTCTATTTCTTTATGTGTGGCAAAATATGAGACGGTTGTATAAATATATCGCTTAAATTGTGTAACAAAAATTGTTTTGTTAATTTGCATTTATTTGCTTAATAATATAAATAATGAGATATCCAGCCTATCCGCTGCCTGTTTGGCCTGACCATTAGCCTAAAGAAAACTAACATTATGGCACAGGGCGCTGACTCCCTCCCCACTATCGCCATCGACGACTACGACTTGGATACTGTTGACAGATTCACATATCTGGGATCCAACATATCGAGCACCCTCTCAATGGAGGATGAGATAAGTGGGAGGATAGGGAAAGCTGCAACTGTTATGGCCAGACTGAAGAAAAGAGTCTGGTCAAACGCCAAACTCACAACAAGAACTAAGCTGCAGGTGTACCAGGCCTGCGTACTGAGCACACTTCTGTATGGATGCGAGTCGTGGACCACATACTCTAAACACGAAAGAAGGCTCAATGGCTTCCACCTCAGATGCCTGCGCCACATCCTTGACATTAAATGGCAAGACAAAGTCCCCAACACGGATGTCCTGTCCCAAACAAACATGTGTAGCGTCCCAGCCATGTTAATCCAAAGACGCCTCCGCTGGCTTGGACACGTCAAGCGAATGCAATCTGGTCGCATACCAAAGGACGTGCTATACAGCGAGCTGGCGACAGGGAAAAGGTCAGTTGGACGGCCTCGTCTGAGATACTTAGACATATGCAAAAGAGACATGAAGTCCTCTAACATTGACATCTCAAACTGGGAGGAGTTGGCAGAGGATCGATCCTCATGGCGGGGCATCGCGAAGGCAGGATCACTACATGCCGAGGACCAAAACAGGGCGGAAACAGCTGCAAAAAGAGCGAGGAGGAAAGCCGGTAAATACTGCTCCACTGCATTCGTGTGTGGGAAATGTAACAGAGACTGCCATTCGAGGATTGGTCTCACCAGCCACACCAAGAGCTGCAAGCAATAAAGATAATATATCGTCTCCCGCAGACGGAAAGATGCCATACATTGTGTTCAATGTATATCTATGGAGATCAACAATTTTTTCAAGACGTCGCTGTTATTCACGCATAGGCTCCACTTCTGTCAATAAAGCGTTGAGATAATTGTCTCCATACATATATATATATGGCATCCTTCCGTCTTAATGAGATGATGGAGTTGCTATGTTGTCCTACACTTCGACGAGTGGCTTACTAGGCCAACCCTAGAATGACAATCTCGACTGCATTTCTCGCAGGAGAATATTGATTCCTGGTAAGATTTTGACATCCTTATTGTTCTTTTTGTTGAAAGGGCCTCGTTTCACGTATCACCTGCGTTTTTTACTCCCTCTTATAACACTGCTGTTCGCCAGCTCGAACGTTCTTCGGCAATGAGCTCCCATTCGTTGTTTGCAATATTGGCTTCCCTCCTGCTCCTTTTGCAAACGTCCATAAATCTCAGGCGTGGCCGTCCAATAAGTCAATAAGTCTTGTCCCTTCTGCCAACTCTCCATACAGCAGCATCTTTGGGATACGTCCTTCCTCCATTCTCCGTACATGACCTAACCAGCGAAGGCGTCTCTTGCTAAGAAAGGAGAATATGCTAAACATTTGTGCACGTTCCAAGACCTCTGTGTTAGGCACCTCCTCCTGCCATCGAATAAGTAAAATGCGACGCAGACATCTTTGATGGAAGCTGTTGAGTGTCCGCTACTGGTTGGTATATGTGGTCCACACTTCGCTAGCATATAGGACTAAGCATACATATATATATCGTTTACTGAAATTATGTGTGCGATCTCTTACTCCTAAAATGTTATTTTTATTTTTTTTACTTATGGTTTATTAGGTTAAGATTGTATAAAGCATTCAAATTATAACAGCTAATAATTAGCTAACGCCATTGAATACATGCACTTAAATTATAAACTAAATAAGTAAAAGTCATCATTATCCTATAGTGATAAAATAAAGTCTTATAATGTCAGGGTGAAAAGTAGACGTTACCGTAGGTGGAATAAAGGAGTAACTGCTTCGCTTTCCACATCATACAAAGAAATCGGCTTAACGTATGATATTGACCCTAGTTAGAAACTTTGATTGATCCATAGTATGATTGGATTAGCGTTGTAGGGCAAACATATGATTCAAATGAAGATGCTGAGGAACGCCTATTCCTTAATATAAACACACACATTACTAATATAATGAAACATTACATTACTTAATTCTCGTATTCTTCTTGTTTCAATGTAGTATAGCTACGAATGGTGCAAGATGACAATTTCAAGTGAAGGATGTTACAATGCAAGCGAGCCATATTGTAGTTACTGTGTAAAGCCAGACGTTGAAAACTATTTAATTACGGTTACAATCTCGACGGAAGATCAAAGATACTATTATTATGATGATACTTCTTATATCCGTTGCCATGATTCAAATAACAATTGGTGGATGGAGAGTAATTATGTCCGAGTACCATTTCCTTTTACAGGTAAAATATTACAATATTTTAATTTCATGACTTAAAAAAAAACAAGAACAGTGGCTCTTTTTCTTTATATGTTCTTTGTGGTAACAACTTAAAAATAAATTTAAAGATACAAGAAAATAGCATACAAAAGTTATTTTGTATTTTTAAAGTAAAAATTTCCTTTTTCATAAATGTTAGCAATATAATTTTTTTTTATTTTAACTAACGAAATATATTAAGAGCTGTCATTATTTATTGAAATGAGACCCAAAATGATCATATTTTGAGTTGAATGGTGTACAAAAGCAATACCGAATCTATTCGTATAGTTTTACCATTTGTAAAATTCAAACTTACGAGCTATATTAAATCCTTAATTAGTTGTATCATGCAGAGGCAGCCAACCCACGACCTGGCACGTTAAAATTTGTGACCCAAAGACTGTTTCGCAATTTTATTTCTTTCGTCATTTAGTGATTATTTTCATTCATACACAATTTTTATAACGGTGTGCACCATTTCTGCCTACCGGCCCATCTTTTGGACTGATTTAACCCTTGTCAGCAGACATACTTTTATAGGAATGGTGTTTGCAGGTGTTCCCACATGAGTTGAGCCCTTTGCTTCATCAAATGTAAATAAAAATCGCAAAAGTTATATTTTTTACATATGTGTAGTTCACAAGAGTTTAACACACACACACACACATAAAAAGATTGAAATGAGTAATCACAAATCTTAAATACAAATTTAGTGACTAAAAATTAAAAGATACATATTACCAAAGCTAGGTGAAGGTAACCCACATTTCTACCAAAATTTCATTTGTTGTTCTCCACTGTTGTGTAGAATGATGCTAAACTAAACTCAAGTATGTGCCAAAATACATCCCTGTGTTTTTAAAGTACTAAAAAAATTCTGGGTGATAGGGCTCTGGCTCCTTTCAAGACCCCACCACTAATTTTGATAAGAATACGAAGTATAATTTTATTTTAAGTTTTATTGGGCCGGCCAACCCTGCGTCTATGGAACGCAACTAGGGTTACTTTCAGGCATCTATCTCTCTGGTAGGGCAGTGCCCCCCTCCCTCCGGGAATCTCAAGCGCCCCCCCCCCCCCGAGCCAAATGTGTACATCAATGAAACGAACATATATTTTAAAAAGTAACTACCAACTTGTCATACTAGGGTTACTTTCAGGCATCTATCCCCCTGGTAGGGCAGTGCCCCCCCCCCTCCGGGAATCTCAAGCGCCCCCCCCCCGAGCCAAATGTGTACATCAATGAAACGAACATATATTTTAAAAAGTAACTACCAACTTGTCATTTAAAAAAAAAAACTTTGAAAAGTATATTAACTGGTGAAATAAACCGATTTTCATTTAGTGGAATCTTTGAAATATATATTTAAGTCTAATCTTGTTGGATGCTTACAGTCGTCCCTCACCACTTCACGCTTCAACTTTCACGGCTTCATTCTATCGCCGTTTTTTTGTGTGTTCAAATATGACAGTATATTCATTGAAAAGTTGAAAGTGATTCAGAGCGTACTTGAAATTATTGTACGTATGGACTGTAGGCTTGTGCATTCAAGCTCCCCCGGTGGGTCTAATAATGGTAAAAACCATATTTAGAGGGTGTTAAAGAGGATTTCTACGCTTTAACTACGGAAATATTTAACTTGTAAATAAAGAATCCAACTTCGCGGAAATAACTAATCGTGGGAGAGCGGGGCAATTATTACCGGCGATAAGCGAGGGACGACTGAATATTGTTCGATTATAAATCTCGCAATGTTTCGAAAATTTGACGCTTATGAGCCGAAGAATTATTTCCATTTTTCATTTTTAGTTAATTATTTTTTTTGTTCAAATTCACAAGTTTAAAGACTTTAATAGCACTGTATTAAACTACCCTTCCATCACTATCGAGAACTTTAATTTTAATACAGGTCTTGCCAAGTATTAAACATGTGCTATCTCTTTTCAAACTATATTTCATCATAAAAGTATGGCTTTTATAATAAGGATATGTGTTAGTTATAAATTGTATGACGGCCTCATGCTTTAAAAAATATGGCGCTTATTTTATTTGTTTGTGCTAAAAAAAATTTGAAAACTTTAAAAAAAAAAAAGGAAACATATTTTGTAGAAACAAAAATTAAGAATTTAACAGGTGCATACAATTAGTGCTTCATTTAATCGAAATTGTTTATGTTTCCTATAATTGTACTAATTTTGTAACAAAGTTTTCTGAAGAAAATAGTTTAAGAAAAAAAAAGACTTTGCCTGTATTTATAAGTTTTTCAACTGATTTTCTCATTTTAATATTACAATACTAAAAAATCTGCCCCGCCGATTTGCACGCACTTATTTTGAATTATTTTTTTTAAAGATGAGAATCCAGTAGACAGGTAAATAAAAGTTTATTGGAAATAGCAATAGGATTATTATACAGGAATACCTCAAGTGTTGGCAGCATGCTAGAAACACTAGGCTGGTCACCATTGGAGAAACGACGACGACAATCCAGGCTCTCCATGATGTACAAGATAAATAATGGGCTGGTCCACTGTTCCAGTATTAAACAGAAACTCGTACCTCTCCCCCATAGACAGCGACGAGGCCATGACAGGCAATTCAGGCTCATACCAGCAAGAAGCCAGTATAGGAGCTGCTCATTCCTGCCCAAGACAATCAGGGACTGGAACAATCTTTCAAAAGGAACGGTTGAGGCGACAACACTAGACACATTTGTGTCTATTGCCTCAAGCCTTCAAACCCCCAGTGCATGATTCCCTCACAAAGTGGCACTGGAAATCTGTGAAATTTCCTCATCAACACCAGGAACAGAAACATTGCAAATCCCATCTACATGCATAGGAGCCAAAATGATCAATAAATTGATCGTGGGCCCTTAAGATATAGAAGAAGATGCCGAATCCATTTGTGGTGCTAATTTTAAAAAATACTTCTTCTTTCCCAAATGGTCAATTAACATAATTTCTATGGAATTGTTTTTTTAAAATGTGTTAAAATATATTGAAGAACCAGTTTGTCATTTATCATCAGAAAGTTATGGCACGCATTGATAAAAATAATAATATTATGTCCTTGTTAACATTCGATGTCTTCTTCACATAATTATGTCGTCCATATACGATTTATAAAAATGATACGTTCTGGAAACGCATAACAATGTATAGACCTTTACGAAAACAGTTTTTTTTCCTCTCCTCTTTTACTCTGCTAACATTCGATGAAGTGTAATCATTAAAAGTAAGTTATTTCTTTATTTGCGTTCACCGTGTAAAAATATTGCTAGAATTTGTTAAATCTTTAACTTTCTTCATTTCAGAAGTTACTATTTATAATATATATATATAATGTATGTAAGACAAGCAGGTTAATCATAACTGTCGATTGACTTTTCGAATCCCACACTTTTCAATTCCCCCCCCCTCCCCACACACACACACTGCATTCAAAGTTGATAATTAATAAAGCCCTTAAATTTCTGAGTTTCCTGCAGCCGAAGGGTGGGGGGGGGGAAGGAAGGGGAGGGGCCAGCAAAATGTCTCTGAGGTTAAACTGCACCCACATTATAACTAGCACATCACCCGATGGCTCTCCGACCAAGTGTAGAATATTGCTAAACTTAATTCGAGTATATTCCAAAATGCTTTATTGTATTTTGAATTGATAAAAAAATATATCAATTGTTTTAAAAAGTTCTAAGGGATAAAATAACTTAGAGCAAAATGCACGCCCTCAATGGCGCAACATTTTTAATGAATTTAGTTCATGTTGGGCCTGCGGGGAGTCAGACGTACCACTGATGATAGTTATATCTAACTTTGGCGCTTTCCATCCGAAATTTCCTTTAATATTATCTGAGATAATCCCCAGCTTCAAGCATGCGCCCAGATGCATCACTCCATTTGGAAATTGCCCAAAGTTTCCGACACCGTCAGACTCTACACCCTTCCTCCCTCACGTTTATCAGTGTGACAGTATGGGTTGAAACTGAGGATTTGCCAAATGATTACTCTGGGGCGCGCCACAGCTAGCCTGAATTCAGTTTATGTATGACACTGGGCGCCATTATGCCTTCCACGTACTTTTAAAAGAATCCCCTCGCCCTCCCCCGCCTAATCAAAAGAAACACTAAATTAAGGTATACTGGGGAGGTGACGCCACACCTCCTACTTTCGCACCGCTTTCAGGATACAACACTGCAGTTATACGAAAACTCCGCTCCATGTAATTAAAAATTGACACCTCTTATAGGGTCACTTCTTCAACAACTTTCTACGACACTTGCAGAATGACTTCATACATTCATTTTTCGACCCCATCCTCTTCTCTGCAACCATTATTTTATCCATTTAATCCCCCCAAAGTCTAATTTAGCGCCGTCGCTAGTCTGGCAACAGGGCCATCTGTTCCCTCTGCCCCCTCAGCTAAGCATATTACCCACCCCGCCCCGAAATCTGAAATGCTTCGCCAGGGAAAATTGTCTGAAAGATACAGTGAACGCCACTGAACTTATTTGTTATTGTGCATCGTGGTATACAACACACACCGTTATATATATATATGTTGGTCTATATATTATAGCTAATTATAAATTTTCTAAAAGGTTTTGTCAATTTAAAACATCCAATATCAAAAATGAATGATGAAATTTTGCACATGTAAGAATTTAATTTAAAATGACATAAAATATGCTTTTAATAAATCCTAACAATTAATTTATTTTAAACATATCCTAATGTTATTACCTTTCTATATTAATTTGACACTTTTTTTAAAGGGAATACATATCATGAGAACAGTTGGCAGTTTCATTTTGTATACACATTTCTTGACAAAACAAGTCCGGCAATGTTAAACAAGACTTCATTCTACTGGTATTATGGAGTATATTTGAATTTTTTCAATACAACATTTGTTATTGGAGATGACGTCATAACTTTCAGCAACGCTGGTTCAAGGGAGCTTCCTATAAATGGAATCAAAGAAGGCGACATCGCTATATTTATGGAACCCTACAATTGTTCCTACACGTGCGACGCCCTGGGTAAGTCATTTCACTAATAACTTAAATCTCACCAAAATCGTTTTTATCGTCAGCATGATTCTCTACTTCATTGGTATTCATAAAAAAACTAAAAACAAATGATGTGCATGGAGTAATTTAGATCTGATGATTTAGTGGAGTCGTCAACAATGTCAATGTTTAAGATATCATGCAACTTAGCCGTGCATTATTTCCATTTTTCAAACCATTTTTCTATATTTTTCTTTTTAAATTAAATGTTCTATTTTTTCCACATAATCAAAATTATATTATTTGAATTTTACAAACAAATGTAAAATCTGACAAATTTCAGAACCTGACTTATGGAAAATTATAAAATAAATGGTAATGAGAGCGTTTATTTTATGTGTTAATAAAAGACAGTTTAAGAAACTTGTACTAAAATCGTTCGGCTACGTCAATGTCAAAAGTTTTTGTCAAAGCCAAGTTTAGAGAAATTAATTAAAAATATGTAAAAGCAAGGGGCATTGGAGGGGGAATACATTAAAATTGTGAACTACTTTGATTCTGTAATAAGTGATGCATATGTCAATTTAATATTTCATTCACAATACTGAAGCAGCTTGATAGATTATAGTTTTACAATTAGTTCAAATTTTGCGCTCAACTAATCAAATTGGCAATTAATCGATATTGGCGACTTTTACACCCCTACTATTAAATATTAATATTAAAAATTAGACATGTTTAACACAAATAGTCAAAAATTCTTGCAGGCCCCCTGTTACGATCTGCCTTCTAAAGTGAGAATTTAATCTCTTATTTTAAGTTTATGGCTCGTTCTTAACAGTACATAACAAAGTAAGATACCATATGGGAAAAACAATAGTTAAAGTAAGACCTTCGAAACAGTACTAATTACAATTAATTATATTATTTAAGTATTAATATAATTATAAAACAAAAGGAATATAATTAAAAATTCACCAACTTACAGAGTATGGTATGTCTTGTACCGGTACACAGTACATTGTGCCACAAAAAATAAGGTACAATGATGAATGTGAATAAACACATATGAGTGTACACAGAATAATCCACTTGGCTTGTGAAGTGAAAAATATCTCTCTCAATCTCTGTCTCTTAATGTTCTCTGAACCATTTATATATGCAGCGTAATACGCATTCCAGAAACGACTTACACATTGTTTACCTTTTTAGTCCACTCCCGAACTTTGAATAAAATACTATGAGAACAGATTAATTATGTTTAATTGGTAGCGGTAGTAAACACGTCAAGATGAAAGGGAATAAGCCATGCCAAATACGAACGTGGCATCTGCTAGATTGGGTCATACAGAGATCACGTCACGGGGAATGTGACGAAAACACATCGTCTTCATAACACCCTCCCTCCATTTAGACGATTGACATAGTTTATGGATGGTTATTACATGACAATAGCATTTAGCTCATATTACTTTTGGCGTGCAATAAGTCAAAGATTTATACATTCGAAAACTGTGAAGTTAAAAAGTATTTTAAAATGTATTTATTATATTTGTGAATTCTCTCATACATCTATTACTAACTGAAGACACAAATTTATAATGTTATGGTCTATTTTTCATGATGTTTTAATTCTAAATTCGTCTTCTTGGTCTTTTCAACTCCCAGTAGAGACCTTGCCATAAACAAGATCGTTCATAGCCTTTCGGCATTTTTCAAATTCTTTCCAATTTTCAATACATCACGATCCACATCTTTTCAGAGGTTTTTTGAGTCTTTACCGTCAACCGGATCCTGAAGTGTTCCACAACTAGTGTTTTTATTTTTTACTATTGACACATGAGTTATCTATTTCCAACTACTTTTCCGGATTTCCTCATACGGTATCATTTCAAGAGGGATGGGGAAATTCGCCGCCGCTATTTCCAGCCATAGTTTCACCTCCTCCGTTTCACTGCGAAAGATATCGACATTATTTTAAACCAAAAGTAATAATATGATCTTAGAGGTGATTAAATAATGTTGAAAATTAAAGAATTGATTGATTGATTGGATATTTATATCGCGCCGGTATCCATGCAACTTTGGCATGCTCACTGCGCTCTGGTATCCATGCAACTTTGGCATGCTCACTGCGCTCTGGTATCCATGCAACTTTGACATGCTCACTGCGCTCTGGTTTCCATGCAACTTTGGCATGCTCACTGCGCTCTGGTATCCATGCAACTTTGGCATGCTCACTGCGCTCTGGTATCCATGCAACTTTGGCATGCTCACTGCGCTCTGGTATCCATGCAACTTTGGCATGCTCACTGCGCTCTGGTTTTTAAATGTTTCTTAAGGGATTTTTTTTATCATTTACAATTCCCCTCAAAGATTGAGACAAAGTGTTCCATAATTTTGGCGCTATCGCTTCAAATGAGCGCACTCTGTAAGATTTTTCTGTGTTCATCCATACTAGGAACTCTCAGTAAGAACACACACAATATATATATATATATATACACATATATATATTCATTTATATAAATAAAGCATATAAAAAGTCAGTGGAAAAATAAGGATTGGAATGAATGTTGAAATTATTAAGATGGATAAAAATATATACATTTATACACATCCTAACTAAACAAACATACAGTGAGACAGACAGAACGACAGACAGAACGACAGACAGGAAAGTCGGCAGGTATGTAAGTTATTATGTAAGTTGTTGGGTAGGTAGATTTAAATAAAATAAATGTATATAAAACAATTTTTCCCAAATACATTCCAGGTATCAATTTAAGTTCTTTACATTTTCAATATGATGAGGGAAGTAAACGTATGACAGGCTCATTTGAAATACCGGCTTCAAGTCCTTTGGTCGTCCAAGCTCTTTATTCGGGACCATATAATGTTGGCATAGAAGTAAGTAATTACAAAGTTCTTAATCAGACCATGTTCTTTATTAATGAGCCATGTATCAACATGTTACAAAAGGCATAGACTGGATTTGATAGATTCCCCGTGAGTTTGAAATGTGGACAAATCATATATCAGAACAAATTCCTTAGACTAGCTTTACGTTTAAATCTTAGATTAATTGTTAAAATGAGTTTTAACATTGTTGCGTGTATTACCCTTGACATGTACTAGATTTTAAGAATCGTATGTCATACATTTGCAGTTGAATCCATATGAAAATAAGAACTATACCTGGTCATTTGTGATCGGAGATGATTGGGCACCACCTTTTGCAATGCATGTGGACTATTTCTATAACACTAGCTTCTGTAGGACTGATGAAACTCTAAGGATTGAAGGTAAAATTATGTTGTTACTTTCTAAAAAATTGAACCAGCTGTACTGAATTTCAAAAATTATATTCTAATGGCAATAACGCTTTTTGCTTCCAGTGTAACGGATCGATTCTAATACTTGAAAATATGACCCGCTGTTAACGGTTAATAATGGATTTTATCGCATTCCAATACTTGTTATAATTAGCTAATTAACAATTTAAGGCATGATGCGTCAATTTCCAACTGCTTTTGTGAAGTCTCAGCATCTAAAATTTCAATTTTTACATATGTAATTGAATAAGGTTTCGAAGTGTTGTTTTTATAAATCAATAACGACTTTTCCCACGCCCGTAAAATATTTATATTAACGAAATAAAAAATGACTCTTTCTTTATTTTTAAAGAATATGTTTACGTTTCAAAAATTAGTTTATTAACATATTTATATTGTTTAAAAATAGAAGCTTAACATCTATAAATAATATTATTTTAAACAAAATCACGATATTTTTCCACGCATAATTGTGAGAAATTAAAACACATTTCTTTATTTTTAAAGAGATGTAAATGTAAAAATATTTAAGTTGCTCATATTGGGTTTAGAGATTTTTAAAATATGAAACAGTATAAGCAAATTCATCAACCCTTTGCCAAGGCCCTGAAATACAAATAAAACATGTTCTAATAACAACAAAACCATATTGAAACACACATGTACGGTTTTTCCAAAGTCTGTAATACTAAACAATCTGTATATATTAGTTACGCCTTAGACCAAGGCTCGGGAACCTTTTTGTCTGCGAGAGCCGTGGACACCACATATTTTGAAAAGAAATTCTGTGAGAGCCATGGACACCACATATTTTGAAAAGAAATTCTGCGAGAGCCGTGGACACCACATATTTTGAAAAGTAATTCTGTGAGAGCCATGGACACCACATATTTTGAAAAGTAATTCTGTGAGAGCCATGGACACCACATATTTTGAAAAGTAATTCTGTGAGAGCCATGGACACCACATATTTTGAAAAGAAATTCTGTGAGAGCCGTGGACACCACATATTTTGAAAAGAAATTCTGTGAGAGCCATACATTATGTTTAAAACTAAAAATTCAAGTAAATGTGAGGAGTTTATCTCCTTCACCACTTCTGAGGCTGAGCTGCAGTAGACTTTAGCTCATTTTTGAAATGAAAAATTGATATGTAATTAATATGTTCGAACATTTGTCTGCGAGCTAGATGCAGCCATCAATAGAGCCACATCTGGCTCGTGAGCCATAGGTTTCCGACCCCTGCCTTAGAAGCAATGTACACTGGTACTGATAAATATTTTGGGAAAATCTTTAAATAATTATAACATTTAAAGAAGAATCTCGTAACCAATTTTCACGTCTGTGACAGGCTTGTGTTTTTTTAAAATACAATTATTGATCTCATTAAAATTTCCGATGCCCCTATACTGTAATTTCCAAAAAATTCGGAAAAAAAACCCTTCTACTAACTTTTCCCATCTGAAAAATGTGAATAAATAACAAAGTTACAAAAAATCCTTTATCGGGTTTCGAGATACCGATTTAAAATATAATAACCCCCCCCCTCCCCACTAAAAGCAAACTCATCTTTACGCAAAAGTGAAGAACATTACTTGATCAAAATGTTCTTATTTTAATCCCCTTTTGACTTTAATTTCAATATTTTTTCTTTCTAAATTGAATAAATTGCTAATTATTACGAGTGAAAAAGTACAACTCATAAAACGCAAAAGCCTCAAAGCTTAAATTTTATAAATGGTTTTAGAAAATGTTTGAAATGTAAAATGCAAGAATTTGAATTTATTTTTAAAAAGTTCTTTTTGGGGTACTACGGTAATTTTTGTTTTGTCTGCTAAAGAATAATAGAAATGGGGAGAAAAAAAAACATTTTTGCCCTTCAATTTAAGTTATAGTTATAATTGAATGCATTTTTCCTGGAAGTACAATTTCACATTCAGGTTAATACTTAAAATTTTGCTTTCAAATGTAAAAAAAAAAAGTCTTTCACAAATGATATTATAGTGTCAATCTCATTTGACAATCTAAATCTCAAAGGCACTCAGCTTCAGTAATATTCGAGAAAAACACAAATTTGGGTATCGACAGACATGGTGCTTAGCTGTCAAAATATTAGTATAACAGTTTTAGCTATAAGATTTCTGCTCATCCTGACGACAAAATAATACTTTATGTAAAAATAATTGTCGTGTTAATTCCTATTGTCCAAATAATGGGGAAGCACATAGTAGCTGAATTTTAAAATCAAGATTTATATTCATAATATTTTTTTTCCTGTTCCCAGAACACGCACTAAAACATGATGTGAACGCTCTTTCTTGTTCTGTGTCCCCAAACAATGGAATTCTCTCCCATTGCACAATCGCAATATACCGACCATCCCAGCCTTCAAAACTGCCCGCAAGACCCATCTCTTTAAACTTACTATGACGACTCATTTTAACCCCCCTCTAACTGATAAACGAAGATCGATGCTGCTGGGTGCTGTCCATGGCTAGATAGGAGTAGATAGTACTTGGGTGGGTGAGGTCAAGATTTGTACAAATTGTTGTTTTTAAATGGTAAGTTTGTTTTTTTTACGTGCTAATTTTTATGTGAAGCGCAGTGAGCCTAGCCCTAGGTTGGGGTACTGTGCTATATAAAACGAATTTACCGATGATAATATGTCAAGTCAATTAGAAGATATCACTGGCTTTGTTCGCTTGCTATTGTACCATAAAGACAATTGTAAAACAAACATTCCTCGTAACAGATACATGCAATTACACGTTGGGATGCATTTTGAAACAATGCTGACTTGAGACAAAAGCCGATTCTAAAAAATATAGTGGCCAATAATGGGTTAATTAGCCATTTAGTCGTCTAAATTTAGTCTCTAATATTCCAGCTATTCCTAAGGCTGAGATATCGCCCGATTGCCCAAGTGGTCAAGGTGTTAAGAATAGACACATCAGACGTGGTACAACAGCCACATGTAAGTGTCAGATAGTCCGTCAGTCACGTCCAGCTGGGCATGTCCAGTGGTTTACAGAAGATGGTCAGTCTGTTGGGTCGTCCACGTCTAGTGAAGTCAGCGTTCTTAATTTATCTCAGAACACTACAGGTCAGCTTGAAAAAAAACAACAACTTTAATTATGTGAATTATTATTAAGTTAATTTGCTCATATAACTGATACTTTGATTAATTCTTTGAAAATCCCAAAGTTAACCTTGATTTAATGGAGCTTTTCAAGTTTTGCCTTTATCCCCTATCGTTGATGCAATGTCTAAATCATTTTGACAATTTTAAATATTATATATTTATAATAAAACACCTGTGTTCGAAATTCATAATATAATTTAAAAAATCTTTTTTTTTTTAAAACTGAACATAATAACTGCTTTGCATGACATTCATTTGTAATTGTAGAGTCATCCATATCGTTTAACTGTATTGGAGTATCAGAAGTTGGACAACAATCTGGTGGGACGATTAAAATACAATTTTATGGTTAGTAATTTTAAGTTCATGTTGATAAAGTATCCTTAATCCTAATTAAAATATTATATTCAAAACCCTGTTTTAATTGTAATTCTATTATGAAATAGACGTCTATATAATTTTTTTTTTTAAATTTGAATTTCATTAATTTTTTGTTTCGCTTCATTCCATTTACATTTTTACTTAAAGGGACATTCGATTATTTCCACAGATGAACCAAGAGTTGTTAATTTCTCAGTAAATGAATCAAAGTCAGTATCTGTCAATGTCAGCAATTCTGTGACATTCTACTGTCAAGTGGAAGCTGACCCTCCAGGTATAACAGTTCTTACAGGAAGTGGTCTAGGAAAGGTCCAAGAAAACACGTCTGCTAGTGACGTATTAGAGTTCATTCTCAATGACCTGCAATGTGAGGACTCGGGCAGATATTTTTGTAGTGGACGGAATGGATTTGAGGACAACGCTACGTCATCTAGGGACTTCGTGGACGTCAATGTAACATGTGTGTATTTAGAGTTAACGCCAATTTAACATGTGTGTATTTAGAGTTAACGTCAATTTAACATGTGTGTATTTAGAGTTGACGTCAATTTAACAAGTGTGTATTTAGAGTTGACGTCAATGTAACATGTGTGTATTTAGAGTTGACGTCAATTAATTGGTAATTATATTTTATTCCTGTTTTTGTATGGGTGTTTGATAGTGAGTGATCTATAAATTCCAATATACATTACTTAATCTTTAAGTGGTTCAAACATAAGTATTTCACGTCAATAAGGTCTGAGTATTCAAAAAAACAACAAAATCAATTAAAACTTATTCTTTTTGATCAAGAGAAAAAGAAAAAAAATTTGTTATCCTTAAAATAAAAATCTATAAAAATCTATAAAAATCTAAGAAAAAAAAAAAATTAAGTTGACATGAACAATATAAATAAAAAAATCTAACAATTTGTATTATCTTTACAGTAAATATTATTTATTTTTCTTCAGTGATAAGTTTTTTTTAATTTAAATATTTTCCTTCACATTTTAAGTGTTTAAGCTTAAGTGTTCTCCGTTAAATATTCCTTAACTTCCAGGTGCCCCGAAACTGAAGAACGTCCCAGACAAAATACCAAGCATTCAAGTATCACCCAATCAAAACACAGTATTTACACTTGAGGTATATGGATACCCGGAACCAACTGCTTTTGGGTTAAAAATAGAAACTGGACGATCCACTTCCTCTGTGAACAAAGACAACTATTCAGTAAAATATTTACCTCTCACACCTCCGTTTGGGTTAGTGACCTTGACCATCTATGACGCCAACACCAAAGGTACAACTACCTACATACTCAGTGTCAGAAGTGAGGCTGGTGAAGTTGAAATGAAGTTGGAAGTTGTCAAAGAAGAATCACCAAGTCCAATAGGTCAATAGTTTTATTTTTTCTCTCTTTCTTTTGCACGGCTAAAGTAAATGAATGGCCATTGTATTTATTGTTAATGTTATCTTTAGGCATTTTATTAATATTTTTGTCGTTTTTATTAACATCTACATTGCAGTCATGTCTTGATTCGTTTAAGTAAAAAATAATTTGTATGAAAATATCGGAATACCGTATAATTTGAGTTAAGCAGATATTTAAAATGATACAAAGGGTTTTCAAAATGCATTAGTCTCAAAGTAACAATGTAATTAACGCTACCAGATGGCACTGATTTCTCAAAATAAAATTCCCTATTGAAACTGGGCTAAATGAGATTCTTAAAAATACCGCATTTGCATTTAGTGCGTAATATGTTCTATGATTTTACGGAAATAGCTGATGTAACGATTCTGTGGTGGGACATAACATAATTAATATAGTTCAACGGAAGTATCTTTCAAGGTTGAGGTGGGATAGAATTGATTGCCAATCTAGTAAAGTGCGTTACTTTAATGAATGTTTTGTTAAGTAGCTTTGGTAGATGGCAAAGTCACACATTGTCACCGCCATTTTTTTGGCGGAATTTAGTTACTGTTTTATATGGTCTTTGACTAAGTCAGATATAATGCGCACATTTTGGAATATAGCCGCCTCTCTAGACATTTGCTTTCAACATTCTAAATGAAATCTTTTAACTCATGACATATAATTTTCCTTTGTAAAGATGACATCAAATGGTAATGATGAAAGAATTGGTGTTCTATTTTATAATATTTAAAAAAAAAACATTTTGTAGTAGGTGAACATAGCACACCACATAACATCTCTATATGAGCAAATGCGCAAGGTAGCCTTGTTACTAAACACATATGTGTTTATTACTGTAGATGAAGACAACACATCACGTGACATCGCCATAGGAGTGAGTGTTTCCTGTGTCGTCCTTGTCCTGGGTACGGCCACCGCTGTCTGTGTCTATTTTAAGAGACGGAGGGGAAACGTCCACAGACATCAGACTCGTAACCATGGCGACGACAGTATATATCGAGATCAGGGTTTCAAAACAACAAATGCTATACCGCTATCAGAACGTGAGTGAGGCCGTCTTTAAGTATGGATGACATTTTTGTTGAACATTTTGAATATCAAATAATCCATTTTACTTGCTTTTGAATCCATAAAGATACAATTATTTTTTTTTTTTTTTTTTTTTTTTTTTTTTTTTTTAAAAAGGAAAAAAAAATGAATCGGCAACAGGATAATTCATTTCGAAACTGTATTTTAATTTCAATAAGTCTCCAAAAAATCGAATAGATTGCGATAAAATGTTCATAATAAAATTTAAAATATATAAAATATATAAAAAAGTAAATAATTGATCAAACATTTTAAACTAGATTTTCCTAGGAAATATTACTGGGACAATTTATGATAAAGCAAACATGTTAAATGAAACAAAAATTAGACAGTAACTGAAATACGCATAATGATTTTTTACCATTTCTTTTTTTTTCTATTCTTTTCTGACTCACGCGAAAATTACCTTATATAATAATTGATGTTTTGTGTAATGAAGTCCACCAACATGATGACATAACTCTTTCAGATCAATTTATCGACGGCTCAACTTCATTTAAAAACAACGCCTTTGACATTTCTGACACATTTAGACCCAAAACTCAATCAGACACATTCAGAGACACATCTCAATCAGACACATTCAGAGATGCATCTCAATCAGAACCCATGCCTTCAACACGCGTCGATGAGAATGTCAACAAGAGATATCGATATCCCGATGAACCACCTCCAGACTATCCGATGGATTATTGGAACATCTCAGTAACCCAATGATATACGCTTTTAAAACATGTTTGTTGGCTGGGTCAATGCTTTCATGTTTTAAAAATATATTTTTTCTCGAGATTGCATTCTTTGTCAATCAGTTGCATTCTAAGAATACCAATAATTTTAAGAAATACTTTGTACATAACTGATAGTGTGGAATTATTGACACGCCATAATAATGCACCATATTTAATATAGTAGGATACTCAAAGTTTGTACAATTATATTTTTCAGTTGTGCTCTCTTTCTGTCATATTTATCATCACTATAAGATGTAATCATCACTCGTTCCTCGATTTCTTATGCAGTCCATTTGTTTGGTTATGATAACAGTCGTGTAATCAGCGTGTGTGCCAATCATAAAACAGATATTTTAATAAATACCTATGAAATCCCCAATTAATTCAGTTGATGACGTCATTTCAAATATTTTATTTACACATTGGATTAGTTGATTGTACTTGACCATTTAACTAATACATGTTTTTAAATGGTTTGAATATTGTATATCGTATATTGTATAACTTAAGAGACATCTCTAAATTCCCCTTTTAGACCACCTTTATATTATATATATTTGGTACGTGGACTCCATAAAGTATAAAGCAAATCCACAATTTTACGATGCTGCCATGTCTTTTTCCTATATTTTTTTTTTTTTTTTTTTTTTTTTCTTTTTTTTTCAAAATTATTCCTTTCCTTTCTGTTTTTTTTTTTTTTTTTTTGTTTTTTCCCCCTTTTCCTATTTTTTTTTTTTTTTTTTTTTTTTTTTTTTTTTTTTACATTCTACTTCAAAACTATTCCTTTCCATTCTGCTTTATTTTATTTTTTCTGGGTTTTGCCCCCTTTTCCTAATCTTTTCTATTATTTTAGGAAGGATATATGTATTAATATATATTATGCAAATTTAATTTATACTTTAAAAAAATATTTTGTTATTATCCTGATGAAGGCATGTGCCCGAAACGTTTGCTTGTGTTTTATGTCACGTTATTATCAAAGCTGAACATATTTTGTTTTATTGAAACAAATTGATCGTGTCTCAATGAATCTATTTTAAAACTTTATCGCAGTCCAACATTCTTATAATATTTTTTTGGACGAGATTTAAAAGCGTTATTCCGTGTGATCGTGCTGATACGGTTCAGTGCCGAGACAAGAGTCGTTTCAGGATGAGATCAGACAATATTTGCAAGGGATCATATGGGGTGCTGGGTGGCCGAGCGGTCTAAACTGACTCAAACCCAATATCCGTTGGTCCAGAGTTCAATCCCCATCAAAGCCATCCCAAGCACCCCGGGTGGATGGGACTCATTAGCCTTGGACAAGAGAAGGCAAACTCTGAATTAAAACCAGGAGCCAGAATGATCAGCAAATTGATCGTGGGCCCATCAAATATAAGAAGAAGGAGGATGCATTAACTGAAAAATTAGCAAGGAATTCAATTGCTGTAGATGATGTAAGGCTAGCAACTTTTGGACTGAAATCTGTATGTGATTTTAAGAAAAGATGGCTGTTGGATATTATATTAAACCAAAAATTGCATTTCTTAAGTAAGTAGAATGTTCAGAGATTTATTATTTTAATTAAAAAATTAATCAGTTTCATTATTTTAAGCCTATGTTAAAAGTTTAAAAATAATTTTTTAATCTCAATATTATTTTACTCTTCTTACAAAAATAATTATTTATCATCATCTGTATTGAAGAAATATTGTGAATAGCGATATATTTGTTCGTGTTGTTATAAAAAAATGATTTCCATGGCATGTAGACCGATGGCAGTTATGCTGCTTCATTCTGTTTCTATGGTGTATGCCGTATTTAGATCATTTAGCTTTACTTCTAAAAGTACGGATATTTCAAGACATTGTTATTTATATATATATATATATATATATATATATATATATATATATATATATATATATATATATCTCTCT